TGGTCCCAGCTGCTCTGGAGGCTGAGGTGGATCACCTGAGCCCGAAGGGTCAAGGCTGCAGTGAGCTGAGATCGCCCCACTGAACTCCAGCCTGGGCAACAGTGTGAGACCGTGTCTTAAAAAAAAACAGTGAGACCCTGTCTTTAAAAAAAAAAAGGATTCCAGGGGTTCTCACAGGAGATTTTGTTTTAAGAAGTAGCTCTGGAGTGGGACGTGGAATTTGATACATTTAGCATAGTGCCAGGCAATGCTTATGATCAGATGGTACTAATTAACCCTTGGAATCACATAATCTTCACTATGATTGTAGTTAGCAAATTTAGCTTCATATCCTGCCTTCTCCTATCAACACACACACACACACACACACACACACACACGTGCACAGGCACGACAAATTGGCTGTCACTTATCTCACTATTATTATTTATATCTTCTTGCTTATAAAAAGACTTTGAAGTTGATCCGGCTTCTACATTTGTCATTTTCCTAAAACTCTTCTCTTGTCTGGAAATAAAAGGAGGTGTTTGCAGTGCACTAAAATCTCATCTGAGGTTGCGTGTTTCTTTAACATTTTAAAAGAATAGAACTGTATCCTTTTTCATGAAAGCATAGTTACACAAAGTATAGGAAGCTGTCAGTGGGAATCAGCTTTGAGCCAATATCTCAATGAGAAATATTTTAGAAGTAGCTGCAGAGTTTTGCAAGGAGTAGTTGCCAGACATGGTGGCTCATGCCTGTAATCCCAGCTACTCAGGAGGCCGAAGTGGGAGGATCACTTGAGCTCCAGAGTTTGAGACTAGCCTGGGCAAAAAATAAAATAAAATGAAATAAAATAAAATAAAATAGTGAAGGATTATCCTTTGAGGCAGTGGGTGAGGACTTTACTTTCCTTCTAAGAAACCAGGAAAGATGATTGCTCCAGAATAAGGCAGACATATGGAAGGTTTTAGAACCTTTTAGTAGAATGTTGGCACAATATGATTTTAGTAAGATTCTAAGGCTATTGTTTGTATTTAACTCTTTGTGACTGCTCTTAGATCTCTAAAATTCTGTTGCAGCACGGCTCCCTAGAGTGTCTGAATTGTGTGCCATCCTACTAATGTCTGTACCTTTTTTCCACTGGGCTTTAGGGTGATGCAAGTTCATAAGAAATAGTGGCAAAGGAAAGCAGAGTGACACTTGATTCTTGACTGTTCCTGAAACTTCGGGGTAGAGATCTCTGGCAAACTTGGCTGGAGCACATGGAGTTTATCATTTTCCAAAAGTATTATAGCTAGTCTTGGACTTTTGTGATATTTGCAGTATTTCATCTTTTGCGGTATGCGAATCTGTCCCAGCACTGGAGAAATAGTCTAAAGAAAGGCAGTTATACCAGGTGCACTGACTTCTTCTTGTAGTTACTTTTCCATGAGCAAACATGGCCTAATAATTGCCTTGCAGTTTAATCAGTCATTAGTAACCTTTCTGTTCATCTGTTGGGAAGGAGCTTTCCTTTCCTAGCTGTTCACATTTGTTTTCTTAGTATTTCCCATAAAAATATTTCACAAAAATAAATATGTAGATGTTAAAATTACTCATGGTGATATAATGACAGGTTATTTATTAAATGCCCTTGAATCATTGCCACCATTCTTTCTTTCTTTTATTTTATTTTTTATTTTTTGAGACAGAGTTTCGCTCTTGTTACCCAGGCTGGAGTGCAATGGTGCGATCTTGGCTCACCGCAATCTCCGCCTCCTGGGTTCAGGCAATTCTCCTTCCTCAGCCTCCTGAGTAGCTGGGATTACAGGCACGCGCCACCATGCCCAGCTAATTTTTTGTATTTTTAGTAGAGACGGGGTTTCACCATGTTGACTAGGACGGTCTCGATCTCTTGACCTCGTGATCCACCCGCCTCGGCCTCCCCATTCTTTCTTTAAATCATCAGTTTAGTTTTTTACTAATTAATATTTAATGATTCCAATTTAGGCTGAGATAGTGATATATTAAGAAGCTAAATAAATAAAACAGAACTGAATAAATTTAAGAAAAGAACTGTAAAACTTATATGCTGACTATTATAAAACATTGTTGAAAGAAATTAAGGAAGACCCAAATAAATGAAAGACATTCTGTGTTGATGGGTTGGAGGATTTATTATTTATGAGAAGGCAGTATTGGCTGGGCACGGTGGCTCATGCCTGTGATCCCAGCACTTTGGGAGGCTGAGGCGGGTGGATCATGAGGTCAGAGATCAAGACCATCCTGGCCAACATGGTGAAACACTCTCTCTAAAAAAAAAAAAAAAAAAAAAAAAAGAAGGCAGTATTCTCTAAATTAACCTACAGACTCAATGCAATCCTCATAAACATCTCAACTGGATTTTTTTGTAGAAATGAATGGACCGGTCCTAAAATTCATATGGAAATTCAAATGATTCAGAATAGCCAAAACAATCTTGAAAATTAAGAACAAACTTGGAGGACTCACACTTTCTGATTTCAGAACTTACCACAAAGCTACAGTAATCCAGATTGTATGCTACTGGCATAAGGATGGACACATCCTGGAATTAAATCTGGAATTAAACCCATGTATCTTTGGTCAGTTGATTTTTTGACAAGGGTGGCAGAACCATTCACTGAGGGAAGAACAGTCTTTTGAACAAATGGTGAACTGGATATTCACATGCAGAAGAATGAATTTGGACCCCTACCTCACACCATGTTATAAATTAACTCAAAATGGATCATAGACCTAAATAGAAGATTTAAAACTGTATAACTCTTAGAAGAAAACACAGGTATACATCTTGACCTTGAATTAGGCAAAGTCATCTGGGACCTGACACCAAAAGCACAAATAACAAAAGAAAAAAAAATAGGCCAGCAGTGGTGGCTCATGCCTATAATTCCATCACATTGGGAGGGTGAGGCGGGCAGATATCTGAGTTCAGGAGTTTGAGACCAGCCTGCCAACATGGTGAAACCTCATCTCTACTAAAAGTACAAAAATTAGCCGGGTGCAATGGTGGTGGCCTGTAATCCCAGCTACTCTGGAGGCTGAGGTAGGAGAATTGCTTGAACCCAGGAGGCAGAAGTTGCAGTGAGCCAAGATTGTGCCACTGCACTCTAGCCTGGGCCACAAGAGTGAGACTCTGTCTCAAAACAACAACAACAACAACAACAACAACAACAACAACAAATAGATAAATGGGACATTATCAAAATGATAAACTTTTATACTTCAACAGAGACCACTAAAATCAAGAAGCCACTACCCACAGAATGGGAGAAAATATTTGCTAATCATATATCTCACAAGTGACTGGGATCTAAAGTATGTGAACAACATTTACAGCTCAGTGATAAAAAGACAACTCAATTAAAATGTGGGCAGGGCTGGGTGCAGTGTTGCAAGCCAGTAATCCTAGCCCTTTGGGAGGTTGAGGTAGGAGGATTGCTTAAGCCCAGGAGTTTGAGGCCATCCTGGGCAACATAGCAAGACTCTGTCTCTACAAAAAAAAAAAATTAAAAATTAGCTAGGCGTGGTAGGTAAAGTGACTGTTAAGGGTAAGAGGTTTCTTTTGGGGATGATGAAAATGTTGTAAATTGATTGTGGTGATGATTGCACAATTGTGTGTGTAGTAAACACTGTTCAGTTGCACGCTTTAAATGGGTGAATTGTATGGAATATGAATTATATTACAAATATATTTACATAATATAAAAATATACACTATATATTTACATATAATTTATATAATATAAAAATATATAACATATATGATATGTATATACATATATCTATTTTAGAGATAGGGTCTCGCTCTTTCCCCTTATTGAGTCAAAAGTTGCTGCCAGATTTTATAAGGGCAGGATAGGTGAAATAAATCTCACATTGGGGCCAACTCTATCTAACGCGACCTTAAAATTCAAGTAGACTTCATTTGCAGTAAATTTTAAAATGATAACAAAATGTGATATATAAACTCAAGTAAAATTTTAGGCTTTGGTCTAGATACTCTGGCTTACTCTTCAAATAGTCATTTATTTTGTTTATGCATTTTTTTGAGTCTAGACTCAGAACAGCATGTCTTGACTTTGCTTCATGATGCCTGAGATCTCAGCAGAAGATTCAAAGGCTCAGGGCTTGAATGATTTGAAGGCTTGCTAACCTGCGCATTTGGCAGTCGATGCTGTTTTGGTTGGTGGACTCAGTTCTTCTGCCTATGAGCCTCTCACTATGGCCTCTCCACATCACTCTGGGCTTTCTCATGGTATAGAATCTGGGTTCCCAGGGCAGGCATCCTGGAAGAGCAAGAGGGGAGCAAGCTTTGCCGTCTTCTATCATCTGTCTCCAGAAGTCCTACACTGTACTTCTGCTGCATCTGGGCAGTGAGGCAGTCACAGTGTCCTGGTCAGATTCCCATGGAAGGAAGGAATCTCTAGATCTTGATGGAGAGGGACAACATACTAGAAGCACATAAAATACTGCTCTGGAAATACTGTTGTGGACACTTTTTTAGGAAAATACAGACTGCCACAGACCTGGAAGGGGACCTTACAGGCAGCTGGTAGGTTCCCCCATTTCCCAGATGAGGACACCTATGCGCAGAGGCATGTGGCATGGCCACAGTTGCGTTCTGTGGTTGGTCAGGCTGGGACAGGCATGTACTTTTTCTGACTCTAGGCTTGGGTCTTTCCCACGATGCCACCCTGTTCCCCTTTCCTAATCACGTAGTTCACTCACCCATGTCATGAGTGTTTCTACCTTTGGAGTTTTCTCTGATGAACAGACAAGATATCAGGAGCAAGACTAGCAAAGCCCTGGCACATATTGGGCATGCACATGTTTCCTATTCTTTTTCCCTCTGGTTTCTTTAATTGACCCTCCATTTTAAAACAGAAGTCCTAGCTGACTGATACACTATGGCAACACAGTAGAATGGAGCCACTTCCTAGCATTTGGAAACTAAATGGTAAATCCAGTTAGCATTTCTGTTTGCCTTTTTTCAGGTGCTCAGAATTTTGATGTCATACGACTATCAACTTACAGAACAGCCTGCAAATTACGATTTGTACAAAAACGATGCAACCGTGAGTCATTTCTACTCATTTCTATGATAGCTGGATAGAGTTTTCAATATTATAAAAGACTTCAACATGTTCTGGTCATATTGTAATGTTAATTGAACTATTTTTGTCTTAAGTGTTTATTAGTATGTAAGCTTTGTAATGAAAGAACTTGTCATTTTACTCTTTTGTTCCTCAAAATGTTTAACAAACTCAATAATGTAGCTAGTTTTGAGGTTGGTGTGGTATTAATGTTTTTTAAATGGGAGAATTGATTTCTGTGTCTTTTATTAAGGAAATGCTTTTATAAAATTATACTTTATACAAAATGTTTTATACAAATTAATACAATTTATCAGCTTCTGGAGGAAAAGAAAGATATTAATGTTTTTGATAAAGGTATAATTGAAATTGATTTACTTGATTAAGCTTAATATAATATGGATCAACCTTTTCTATAAATAATTGCTACCATATGGATTATAAAATAAAGCGTGTGTGTCTGTATATATGTATATGTATGTCTGTGGTTTATATGTAATCTTTCTTCTCTTTATTTCTGTGAAGACGAACTAACTCATGACAGAATTACTGTACTTTTCTTGTGTTTGTGTGTATCAGTGAAAACGTGTTTCATACAATGGAAAGAACATTAACCTTAGAATTGAATGTGTGCAGTGTTGAGAGCCTGACTAGGCTAGTTGCATTAATAATATAAAGTAAAAGATGCATTGTTCTAAAGGTTTTATTTTGTTACCTTTCACATAGGATTTTACAGTTGATCTGAAAAAAATTTTGAGAATGTACTGGATAAGTAGTAGTCAGTTTTCAAGGTATTTCTTATGTATGTTCAATTGTTCTTTCACTTTTTATTGAAAAGGTCAATAAATAGTCAATAAACAGAAGAAAATAAACAACTTTTTTCACTGCTAAAGAGTCTTCTCGCGCCAGGTGTGGTGGCTCAAGCCTGTAATCCCAGCACTTTGGGAGGCTGAGGTGGGTGGATCACATGGTGAAACCCCATCTTTACTAAAAATACAAAAAAAAATTAGCTGGGCATGGTGGTGCGTGCCTGTAATCCCAGCTACTCAGGAGGCTGAGGCAGGAGAATTGCCTGAACCCAGGAGGTGGAGGTTGCGGTGAGCTGAGATTGCGCCATTGCACTCCAGCCTGGGTAAGAAGAGCAAAACTCCATCTCAAAAAAAAAAAAAGTCTTCTCATATACAATCATTCGTGAATCTGTACAAGAATGGTCATGGCAGTGTCCATATATGAGAAGGTCTGCTTTTTGACCCTCTCTGTGTTCCACTGGACTGTTTGTCTGACCTTCTACCAATACCACACTGTTCTAATACCACACTGTTTCTTGTAGCAGTAACTACTATTAGAGTTTAGTAAATCTAGATGTCAGGCAAGGCAAGTCTTCCTACTTTGCTGTTTTTCTTTTTAGGATTCTCTGGAACAGTCTTCTTAACATTTATTTCCATGTAAATTTTAGAATCTGCTTGCCAATTTCTACTAAAACCAACAAAATAAAATAAATAATTCTCTCGTATTTTTTTTTCATTTCTTTCTTCAAGTATAATTTTCAAACAGTTAAATTCCTCTTTTACTGTACAGTCCTGCAGGGATTTTGATCCGGATCGTATTGAATCAGTAAATCAAGTTGGGGAAAATTGACATATTTCCAACACTGAGATTTCCTCTAATGAATGTGGTATATGTTCATCCCTAGAGCTATGTAGGTCTTTAATTTCTTTGCAGAGATGTTACACATCCTTCATTGGATTTTTTATTTTTGTAATTTTTATTTTTTGAATCAGAGTCACTCTGTCACTCAGGCTGAAGTGCAGCGGTACGATCTTGGCTCACTGCAACCTCTACCTCCTGGGTTCAAGAGGTTCTCCTGCCTCAGGCTTCCGAGTAGCTTGGATTACAGGCATGTACCATCATGCCCAGCTAATTTTTGTATTTTTAGTTGAGACAGGGTTTTGCCATGTTGGCCAGGCTGATCTCGAACTCTTGGCCTCAAGTGATCCACCCATCTTGGCCTCTCAAAATGCTGGGATTACAGTCATGAACCACCGTGCCTGGCCTCTTCATTGGATTTATTACTAGGTCTTCAATGGCATGATACTATTATTTTAAAATTTCATTGTTATGTTACTGATGTATAGAAGAAATACAGTGATCTTTATATCTTGATCTCCTTTCTAGCAGTTGTTCTCAACTCATATTAATTCATCTCTAGAATCTTTGATTTCTGTGTACATGGTTTTGTTATTTCTGAATAATGACAGCTTTATTTACTCATTTCCAATACACTGATGATTTCTTTATCTGCATATTTATCTTGGTTTGGCCTCAAGTACAATAGAAATGATGATAGTGAACATTCCTTATCTCATTCCCATGATCAGAGCAAAGCCTCTCATTTTACTATGAAGAAATATGATTTTGGCAAGTCCTTTGTAGGTAACATTTGTCTTAGCCTGTTTTCTGTTGCTTATAACAGAGTACCTGGAACTGGGTGATTTATAAAGAAAGAAATTTATTTTGTACGTTTATGAAAGGTCTAAGATTGTGGGGCCATATATGTTGAAAACCATCTTGGTGCTGGGGACTTTGCAGAGTCCAGAGGCCATGCACAGCATCCCATGGTGAGGAGGCTGAGTGTGCTAGCGCAGGTCTCTCCTCCTTTTTTTATAAAGCCACCAGTTCACCGGGCGCGGTGGCTCACGCCTGTAATCCCAGCACTTTGGGAGGCCGAGGCGGGTGGATGACGAGGTCAAGAGATCGAGACCATCCTGGTCAACATGGTGAAACCCCATCTCTACTAAAAATACAAAAAAATTAGCTGGGCATGGTGGCGTGTGCCTATAATCCCAGCTACTCGGGAGGCTGAGGCAGGAGAATTGCCTGAACCCAGGAGGCAGAGGTTGCGGTGAGTTGAGATCGCGCCATTGCACTCCAGCCTGGGTAATAAGAGCGAAACTCCGTCTCAAAAATAAATAAATAAATAAAATAAAAAATAAAGCCACCAGTCCTACTCCCATGATAAGTTGTTAATTAATTAGTCCATTCATCCATGAGTAGATTAATCCATTCATGAAGGTAGAGCCCTCATGACTCAATCACCTCTTAAAGCCTACCTCTCAATACTGTCACACTGGGGATTAGGTTACATTTCAACATCATTTTTGCAGTGGACAAATATTCAAACTATGACAACCTTAATCAGATTAATTAAGAAAGTTTCCTGGTAGTGTGTTTATTTCTAAAGTTAAGGTTTCCTTTAAAAGTTGTCTTTTTGATAATAATTTCTAACTTAATTTCATTTTAATCAGAGAGCATGGTTCATATAATTTTAATCCTTTAAAATTTGTTGAGATTTGCTTTATGGCTCAGGATATGGTCTTTTTTTTTTTTTTTTTTTGAGACAGAGTCTCATTCTGTGGCCCGTACTGGAGTGCAGTGGTGAGATCTTGGCTCACTGTACTCTGCCTACCAGGTTCAAGCAATTCTCCTGTCTCAGCCTCCCAAGTGGCTGGGATTACAGGTGTGCACCACCACACCTGGCTAATTTTTGTATTTTTAGTAGAGATAGGGTTTCACCATGTTGGTCAGGCTTGTCTTGAACTCTGCACCTCAAGTGATCCACCTGCCTTGGCTTCCCAAAGTGCTGGGATTACAGGTGTGAGCCACTGTGCTCAGCCAAGGATGTGGTTAATTTTTATATATATCTTTTAGTACTTGAAAATAAAGCATATTCTCTCATCATTGGAGGCTGTACTTTATATAGTGCTCATTATGCCTGCTTTGTTGTGAAGTTTAATCGTCTACATCTGTACTTTTTGAGTGTTTATTTGCACTATTACTAAGAGAGGTGAGTTAATATCCCCCACTAAGCTTCTGAATTCCTTTGTGTCCCTTTGAGGTTCTGTTTATTTTTGTTTTATATGTTTTGAGACTATTCTATTAGATGTAAATAAATGTAAAGTTCATACATCTTCTTTTCTTTTTACTTTTTTTTAGGGTCTCACTTTCTCACTTTGTCATTCAGGTTGAAGTGCAGTAACACAATCATAGCTCACCAAAGCCTTGAAATCGTGGGCTGATCCTCCTGCTGTAGCCTCCGCAGTAGCTAAGGATACAGGCATATGCCACTGTGCCTAGCTATTTAAAAAATTTTTTTTGTGGAGATGGGGTTCCACTGTGTTCTTCAGCCTGGTCATGAACTCCTGGCTTCAACTGAAACTAGAAGTGGGATTACAGACATGAGCCACTGCGCCAAGCCTCTTATATCTTTCTTATGAATTAAAACTTAGGTCATTATTCAGTGACCCTGCGTATCTTTAACAATGTGTTTTGTTCCACCACTAAAAAATAAAATAAAATTCATGTATTATAAAATTCACCCTTTTAGAGTATATAGTCTTTTCATTGATTTTTAGTGTATCCATAGAGTTGTACAACCATCATTGCTATCATATTCTAGAACATTTTCATTACCCCAGTAATAAGCCACATACCCATTAACAGTCACTCCACATTCTTTTCATCTCCCATCTCTGGCAACTGCTAATGTACTTTTGAAAAATGGATTTGCCTATGTGGACATTTCATATAAATAGAATCTTACAATATGTTATCCTGTCTGGTATCTTTTACTTAAAATATGTTTTCAAGGTTTATCCATATTGCAGAATGTATCAGTACTTCATCCCCCACCTTTTTTTTTTTTTGAGATGGAGTCTTGCTTTGTGGCCCATGCTGGAGTGCAGTGGCACCATCTTGGCTCACTGCAACCTCTGCCTCCTGGGTTTGAGTGATTCTCCTGCCTCAGCTTCCCGAGTAGCTGGGATAATAGGTGCCTGTCACCTCACCCAGCTAATTTTTTTGTATTTTTAGTAGAGACAGGGTTTTGCCCCGTTGACCAGGCTGGTCTCAAACTCCTGACCTCAGGGGATCAGGACTTGGCCTCCTAAAGTGCTAGAAGTTTTCTTCTATTTTTAGTTTGTTGTGTTTTTATTATGAAAGGATATTTGATTTTTCCAAATGCAACTTCTATGTCTATTGAGTTGATCATGTGGTTTTACAAGCTCCCCCCTTTTTTTCTGTTACAAATAAAGTAACATCACCTTTACCATGGTTAGAAATTGTCATCGACTTATATTTAAACCTTTTTTATGTCTTTATGTTTTACGCATATTCCTTGCAAACAGCATATAGTTAGATTATTTAAAAAACGTGAATTTGCCAGTCTTTGTCTTTTAAGTGGTACGTTAGTAGGTTTATAGTTATTGCAATTAACTGATATATTTGGATCCACGCCAGCCATCTTTTTTTTTTTTTTTGCTATTTGTGCTACTTGTTCTGTGTTTCTTGCCTTCTTTTGGATTGATCAGTTGTATTTTCCTAATTTCAATTCTACCCCTAGTTTTTCAGTGTTGGAAAGTATACTTTCAGATTTTGTGTACTTGAAAATGTCTTTATTGAACCTTTTTTCCTGAAAGCTTTTTTTTAATACTAGATATACAATTTTGTTGGTGGTTTTGATTTCTTTTCAGTACATTAAAATTATCTGGCAGTCTTCTGCCTCCTTGCTGCTTGAAGTCAGGCGTCATTCTTATTTTTCTTTCAAAGAAATGTCTCTTTTCTGTCTAGTTGAGTATTGTTTACTTTTTTGGTGCACTTAGAAGTTGTTTTCATGTTCCATCCAGGAATTTTTGTCATTTTTCAAGAGGAGTGTAGACCCAAATACCCAGCCTACTTTATTACTGAAAATGAGATTTAAAAGAAAGTCAGCCTCTTAAATGATAGAGGAAATAGGCAATAGAAAAATTTATTTTTGGCAGAGCTATGAGTTGTTGAGAGCTACGAGTCGCCTGTAAAGCATGTTAATATTTTACTTAATGTAGTTGTATTTCTCTCTCTTCTTAGGATTATAAAGTTTGAGTCGTAAACTGTTTCTTTAGTTGCTAGGTTAAAGTAATACAATAAAGTGATTCAAGATGATACAGCAAATTTTCAAAAAGGGTAGAAATTCTCATAAGTAGTTCTTGATCTTCTTTTCTCCAGTTATCCATTGCTAGGAATTGCATGGGTTGCTGTTTGCAAAGACATGAAATACTGACTATTTACATGTGGAGTCTGGAAGTGGTCCTTCCCCTACCGCTGTGGTGACTCCTTGATGTTGTCTGGGACTGAAGTTCTTTATTTGACCACAGAATGTTTTTCTCCTCATTGTTGGCTAGAAAGTTTCTTCTCTTAAACTTAAGAACTAGTTGATAAATTTAAGAGTCCTATTGTGAATGTAGTACCACACTTTAGAATTGTTGACAGTTTATTTTCTTTGTCTTTTAGTTCATCTTGTTGATATCTGGAACATGATTGAAGCCTTCCGAGACAATGGCCTTAATACACTGGACCATGCCACTGAGATCAGTGTGTCCCGCCTGGAAACTGTCATCTCCTCCATCTACTATCAGTTGAACAAGCGCCTTCCTTCTACTCACCAAATTAGTGTGGAACAATCTATCAGCCTCCTCCTCAACTTTATGATTGCTGCATATGACAGGCTAGTACCTTCCCTTACATGCTTACTTCATTTTAAGAACACCTGTCTGAATCATTCTTCTTCCATACTGCCTTGCTAAGGGCTGGCAATTTAGAATCACAGTTAAAAGGGAAATTATTCAGGGCAAGCCCTTCTAGAAACTGGTTCATAGTGACTTACTGTCCTAGAGCGTGGCATATATTAAACTTCGGAATATTATGGAGAATCACAACATTTGAGATGTATGGTTTGGGAAAATTACAGGCACCTTAATACAGCTGTTCTCTAGCTCATGAAAAAGGCTAAGTTCTGAATTTGATTATGGGGCTTTCTATTTGACTTTTAAGGCTCTTTCTTTTTTTTTTTTCCTATGCCTAGTTCATTCAGAAGGCTAATCTTTTTTTACTCTGTAATATCAAATGTTGGACTATAATTTTCTCTCTTTTTTTTTTTTTTGAGATGGAGTTTCGCTCTTGTTGCCCAGGCTGGAGTGCAATGGCGCGATCTGGGCTCACCGCAGCCTCCGCCTCCCGGGTTCAAGTGATTCTCCTGCCTCATTCTCCTGAGTAGCTGGGATTACAGGAATGCACCACCATACTTAGCTAATTTTGTATTTTTTTTTGAGACGGAGTTTCACTCTCGTTACTCAGACTGGAGTGCAATGGCGTGATCTCGGCTCACCGCAACCTCCGCCTCCTGGGTTCAAGCAATTCTCCTGCCTCAGCCTCCCGAGTAGCTGGGACTACAGGCATGTGCCACCATGCCCAGCTAATTTTTGCATTTTTAGTAGAGATGGTTTCACTGTGTTGACCAGGATGGTCTTGATCTCTTGACCTCATGATCCACCCGCCTCGGCCTCCCAAAGTGCTGGGATTATAGGTGTGAGCCACTGCACCTGCCTAATTTTGTATTTTTAGTAGAGACAGGGTTTCTCCTTTTTGGTCAGGTTGCTCTCGAACTCCTGACCTAAGGTGATCCACCCCGTCAGCCTCCCAAAGTGCTGGGATTACAGGCATGAGCCACTGTGCCCAGCCAAATTGATTTTCTCTTTATGTCTAGGAACCTATTTTAAATTATTTCAATGCAGAACATAGTTTAGTAGATCTTAAAACAAAAGAAGAGAGCTATTTAAATGTACTCCAATTAAAAGGGAAATGATTTGCTGTACTTACATTTATAGAGAAGTAAGTTGGTATTGTAAAGAATGAAAAAAAAAATTGTAAAGCACAGATTATGATTGTGGAAGTACAGAGGTTAAATGGTGATGTTCTATGAACTAAGAGTTCTAGTTTCTGATACTTTGTTACTTACAAATCCCCTTTCTATTTCCAACCTTGGTATCAGTTCAGTGTCTTTAGCTGTAAGTAGTAGAAAGCCTACCCATGTGGCCTTTTTTAATAAGAATATGGGTACAGGCTGACAAACTTAGGGGTCCAGAGGCAGGCCAGCCCCTGATCTTGGTTGCATTAGAGCTCTGGCTTCATTTCTTTGAGTGGCTTTGCCCTCTACTTATATCAGCTCTATCCTTAGGCTGACTTCACAAAACGCCTGTGAGCAGCTGCTACTAAAGGCCTCCTCTTTGAAGTTGAGGTTAAGGAAGAGTTGGCTTCTTTCAACACCAAGCAAAAGTACCCAAATCTTCCTCCAGAACTATGTACTTTGCCAGGTATATGTAGGTGTTAGGCTTTATAGCTCAAACAAATCAGAATTTGTGCCTCTGGAGCAGAGAGTGGTTTAATTCTTACCCCAACCCCATGGTGCCATATGTGGGGGATGGATTAGATATGAGGAGACCCCTGTGTTCACCATGCATTTCATGAAGGGCATCATACACTTGTGGTTCCCTTTCTCATTGAGTGGCCTCACCAGCCACTCAGTTACTTAAACCTGAAACCTGAGAATCATTTATAACTCTTCGTTCTACCTCAGTCCCACACCCAGTTGGTTGCCAAGGTCTGTTCTTTCTTCCTCTCGAATATCTCTCAAATCTATCTGCTTCTCTCCATCTGCACTGCTACCATCCCAGACCATCTTCCTTTTTTCCCTGAACTACTGCCATGGCTTCTGACTGATCTTTGTGTGTGTACTCTTTCTTCCTTCATTTACTCATTCATTCTTAGAAATAATAAACGTTCATGCACACACTAACTCAGAAACTTGAACATTGACCCTGGCTTGCAGTATCTCCATCCTTGACAAAATCAGGATGTTCACTTAGGTGCAGGTCAGTGGGATAAGACAGGAGAGGATAGTTTTTGTTGTTTTTCATTCCCTCTTGCATTTTCAAGCTTCCATCAGAGTTATTTTCCCTCTGCCTGAAGAATAATATGCTTTGGTATTTCCTTTGTGCAAGCAGATTGTGACTTACAAATGTGGCTAACAACATTAGCTTAGTTTTTGTTAGAAAATTTCACCATCATTCTTTAAGAGTATTTTTACTTGGTGTACAGTTCTTCATTGACAATGTTTTTCTTTCAACATTTTAAGAATGTTGTTCCAATATCCATATGTTTTCATTATTTCTGTTGAGAAGTCAATTGTAGGTGTAATCTTTGCTGGTAATCTCTTCATGTCCTGTGGCAACTTTTAAGATTTTCTTTGTGTTTCTGGTTTTAAACAATGTTACCATGGTAAGTCATGGTGTGACTTTGTATTTATCCTACTTGTTGTTCATTGAGCTTTCTGTACATGTGGTTTGATAGGTATTATCTGTTTTTTAAAATTCTCAGTCATTTTCTCTTCATACATTGTTTATTCCCAATACTCTCCTCTCTTCTGAGACTTTCTTATTTAAAAAAAGTTCATTACCACATAATATTGTTCTGAGACTTTAAATAAATGTATAGTATGCCTCTTACTGTCTCCTCAATATTTTTTCTATCTTTTGTGAATTTGGTATCAATTTTTCATTCTGGGCTTTGTTCTCAGTAATTTATCTTATAATATATCTTCCAATTTACTTACCCTCTTTTTGCCAATGACTAATCTGCTCTCAAACCCAACAGGTCCTTTTACTTTAAAAAAAAATTGTTGATTTATTTATTTACGAGTTGGCATTTTGCTCATCTTGCCCAGGCTGGAGTGCAATGGTGCAATCTCGACTCACCACAACTTCCGCCTCCTGGGTTCAAGCGATTCTGCTGCCTCAGCTTCCTAAGTAGCTGGGATTACAGGTGCACACCGCCACACCCAGCTAATTTTTTATATTTTAGTAGAGACGGAGTTTCACTGTGTTGTCCAGGCTGGTCTCAAACTCCTGAGCTCAGGTGATCCGCCTGCCTTGGTCTCCCAAAGTGCTGGGATTACAGGTATGAGCCACCATGCCCAGCCCCAAACCCACCAGGTTCTTAATTTTAATGATTTTATTTTTTAGTTTAAACATTTATATATGATAGATTTTTAAAAATTGTTTTGGTTTCCAGTTCTCTACCAAATAACTCATTCTGGTCTCTTATTCCTTAAATATAGTAAACATAGTTATTTTAAAATCTGTGCTTATCAGAGCCTAAAATATCTGAGACAGGTCTCAGTCAATTTGGGAAGTTTATTTTGCCAAGGTTAAAGACAAATCCATAACACGGCCCCAGAAGATTCTGACAACATGTGCCCAGGACAGTCAAAGTACAGCTTGGTTGTATGCATTTTAGGAAGACATGATACATCAATCAAATACATTTAAGATTTACATTGGTGTGATATTGAAGGGTGGGACAACTTGAAGAGGGACAGGGAGCTTCCAGGTCATCGGTAGATTTAAACATATTCTGATTGGCAGTTGGTTGAAAGAGTTCTGATAAGGATTGTGGACTAGGTTTTATCACATAAATGAAGCCTCCAAGTAGCAGGCTTCAGAGAGAAGAGATTGTAGATGTTTCTTCTCAGACTTAAGGTCTGTGTTGATGTGAATGCTGGAGGGGTATGAGGCATGTCCATCCCCCACTTCCCATCATGGCTTGAACCAGTCTGTCAGGTGAAATTTTAGAGTGCCCTGGCCCAGGAGGGAGTCCACTCAGATGGTTGCAGGAGACCTTTGACTTTTATTTTTGGTTTATACTTAAATCTAATATCTAGATTTCCTGTGGTTCTTTTTGTACTATTTGTTGTTTCTGGTTTTCATTCACGATGTTTTATTTCCTATTTGCCTTTTTATTTTTTGTTATAGCCAAACATTCTATAGCAAAATTATTTTTATTATATACCAGACATTATGTTGCAGAATGATTTGCAGGGATAATTTGAGGCCTAGGATAATGTTTTCTTCCAGAGAGGACATATGTTTGTTTCTGCCAGGTGCCTAGAGACCTTAACAATCCAGGATCACCTCAGTTCAGTTTCTGATTCACTGCCTGCGAGGACCTGTTTACCTCTGGATACTATTACCTTTAGGTGAAGCCTTTGGGCTCTTAGCCCAAGATAATATGAGAGTAGGGTAAGCAGAATCACATGTCCTGCCAAGGGACCCCTTCTGCCTCGGCAGGTCCTAGCCTCCATGTCTTTCTCCTTGCCCTCCATACCATCAACATGTTACTCTATTCTTCAACAATTTTGCTTCCCCCTCTGGAATCAAATCACTTGCATGGATTTCATCCATTGCACTCACCTCCCTAGGCATCCAGCCTCTCCTGCATTTGGTAACTTCACTTGGTTAGTTCTCAATAATGTTTATTCAAGGAGATCTTAAAAAATTTTCCCTGTCTTTTTTTTTTTTTTTTTTTTTGCTCAGAGGAAGAGTTGATCAGAAACACCTAGTGTGCTATTACCAGAAACTCATGATTTCTTCAAACATTTCCTCTGTTCTTGTTTTCTCTTTTTCTGACTCTTAGCGTTTCTGCTTCTTTCCTCTTTATCTATTAATGTTCCTCACATATGGCTTAATTTATTTGACTTTGTTTTCTTTTAGAAGAGTTTCTTTATCTGTCTTTCTGCTCATTAATTTGTTCTTCCTCTGGAGCCATTCTGCTGTTTATTCCATCTGTTATTTCTTTTTTTGTTTGTTTTTGAGACGGAGTTTCACTCTTGTTGCCCAGGCTGGAGTGCAATGGTGCGATCTCGGCTCACTGCAACCTCTGCCTCCAGAGTTCAAGCAGTTCTCTTGCCTCAGCCTCCTGAGTAGCTGGGATTACAGGCACCCACCACCACTACTGGCTTATTTTGTATTTTTAGTAGAGATGGGGTTTCTCCATGTTGGTCAGGCTGGTCTCCAACTCCCGACCTCAGGTGATCCACCCGCCTCGGCCTCCCAAAGTGCTGGGATTACAGGCGTGAGCCACCATGCCTGGCCTTCATCTGTTATTTCTTTAGCTGTAGCTATTGTATCTTCCATATGTAATATATATCTGATTTATTCTTTTTTGGGATTTGTGGATCTTGTTTTAGATCGTCTTTTTAAACATGTTTATTCTTATTTTTAAATTCTTGGTCCATTTGTTCTAGTACTGATGCTTCTGAACCTAGTGTATGTTGTCCTGCTTTTTTTTTTTTTTTTTTTAGGTAGCTGTATTCACTAGTCAAAGGACTAGTGAAGGAGTGGCCATTTGCTGAGAATGTGGGCCAAACTTGGACATGTGGGCTAGAGTGTCCACATGTGTGCATAGTCCTTTGAAGTATGGGCTGTGCTAGAGGTGGGAAGGAAGCGGGATCAGATTCTTCCCATGTGGGAGTATGGGCTGCCTTACAGTTGTAAATTTGAACATGACATTCCTGGCCATTATAAAGGTATGCTAGTCAGGGTACAAAGATAGAAACACACACACACATATTTTTTTTCTATTGTCCAGGCTGGAGTGCATTGGTGCAATCTTGGCTCACTACATCCCTCCTGGATTCAAGTGATTCTCATGCCTCAGCCTTCCAAGTAGCTGGAATTACAGGTGCATGCCACCATGCCTGGCTAATTTTTGTATTTTCTGTAGAGATGGGGTTTCACCATGTTGGCCAGGCTGGTCTCAAACTCCTGGCCTCAAGTGATCCACCTGCTTTGGCCTCCCAAAGTTCTGGGATTGTATACAGCCATGAGCCACCGCACCTGGCCAAATTGCTCGTATAACTTTATTTCTGATTTTTGAATCTTATTTTTTCCTCATGTTTTTCATCCATTTCTGTTTTACAAATGAGTCTGTGGCCTTTACCAAAGTGTTGGTTCATAGATACAATGAAATTTCATCTTAAAAATGGAACAAACTGGTAAAAAAAAGTGTAGAGCTAATGATAAAAGCTATATAGCTAAAAGGATAAACCTAATTTTAGGTTTGGATAAAATCTGTAAAATATATATAAATCTAAAAAATACAAAATACAGTTTTGAACATGTCATTTAAAGGCCCAGGTTATTGTTTACCATCTAAAATAACACTTGGTAGAAAATATTCTTGCTAATTTGAACAATTGACAGATTCCTTTGGTATAAAGATACTTATATAGTATATGATGGATTTATATGAAAAAATTTCTGTGTGGTTTGCAAATGTGGCTAACAAATTAAAAAATGTTGTTTTAGCAGTTTAATTTGAATACATTAAAAAAGTTGTATTGTTCCCTCTTAATAGTGAATGTTTAAAACAAAATACAAAACAAAGCAGAAACAAACAGTCCATTTTAAATAAAAGCAAACGTATTCCATAAATTCTGAATCTGCCCAGCCTAGCACATTATGGAATGGATGTTGCTGAAAAAAGATAATATTAGGTTACAGTCTTCTTCATTAGTGACTTTTAAACAAAACTGTAATTTCCTGGGAGGCACAGACATTTCATGTGTTGGTGTACAGTATTTATTTACATCCCTGCTTGTTTTTAGAAGGATTCAGGATGATAAGAAAAAAGCCAGCCAAGTAAGATCAGAGTCCTAGTGCTGAGTGGGAAAATTTTCCACTGCTGTAGCACATTTAACTTTATTTATTTATTTATTTATTTATTATTTTTTTAATAAAAAAAATTGTATTTACTTAGAAGCATTCAGAATGTCAACAAAACAGCTGCAACTTTTTTTTTTTTTGCAATTACAGAGTGGTATTCAGTTAACAGAACAACAATTATTTCGTATAAGCTGCATCAGAGACAACTGAAGATGAAAAAACTACCATCCCCATATATAACTAATTTGTGCTGTGCACCAACAAGAACCTGCTTTAAATTTCCATGCCAATTTACAACCCCCATACTGTACCAGGCAAGGTTAGTGGCTATTGAAAATACCACCAGGACAGGGCTATCTAAAGACACATTCGGTAGTGTGTTAACTATACAAAAAAAGACACTGTACAGTTTAAAAACAAATCTTACACAGCCTTACATTTCAATTTTTTTCTTTAAAAGGAGTGAGTTGTGTACAGGGGGGTTAAATGCTTTATAGACAAGAAAACAAAACTGCGCTAGAACCAACTTATTCATCATCATCATCTTCTTCTTCATCTTCATCTTCTTCATCTTCCTCTTCCTCCTCATCCTCTTCATCTTCCTCATCTTCCTCCTCTTCCTTCTTTTTCTTGCTTTTTTCAGCCTTGACAACTCCCTTTTTGGCTGCATCAGGCTTTCCTTTAGCTCGATATGCAGCAATATCCTTTTCATATTTTTCCTTCAGCTTCGCGGCCTTCTTTTCATAAGGCTGCTTGTCATCTGCAGCAGTGTTATTCCACATCTCTCCCAGTTTCTTCGCAACATCACCAATGGACAGGCCAGGATGTTCTCCTTTAATTTTTGGGCGATACTCAGAGCAGAACAGGAAAAAGACCGAAGGAGTCCTCTTGGGTGCATTGGGATCCTTGAACTTCTTTTTTGTCTCCCCTTTAGGAGGAATATAGGTTTTCATTTCCCTCTCATAACGGGCCTTATCCGCCTTTGCCATATCTTCAAATTTTCCTTTCTCTTTAGCAGACATGGTCTTCCACCTCTCTGAGCACTTCTTAGAAAACTCTGAGAAGTTGACTGAAGCATCTGGGTGCTTCTTCTTATGCTCCTCCCGACAAGTTTGCACAAAAAATGCATATGATGACATTTTGCCTCTCGGCTTCTTAGGATCTCCTTTGCCCATGTTTAGTTATTTTTCCTCAGCGAGGCACAGAGTCGCCCAGTGCCCGTCCGGCTCTCACTTGCCCCGGCGCTGTCTCTATGGAGCTCAATGTACTGCAATGGCTCTATTTATTTTTTTTAAGAGACAAGGTCTCTCTCTGTCACCCAGGCTGGAGTGCAGTGGCGTGATCATAGCTCACTACAGCTTCAAACTCCTGGGCTCAAATGATCCTTCTGCCTCAGCCTCTGGAGTGGCTAGAACTACTGGGTGCGTACCATCATGCCTGGCTATTTTCTTTTTATTTTTAAAATTTCAGAGCTGTTTCTCAGTGTGAACAGGCTAATTAGTTTATTTTTTATTTTGTGTAGAGATGGGGTCTTGCTTTGTTGCCCAGGGTGGTCTTGAACTCTTGGTTTCAAGGGATTCTCCTGCCTCGACCTTTCAGAGTCTTGGGATTACAAGCATGAGCCACCACACCTGGCCATCCATCACTTACTCTTTATCTTGTAGCTTTTATCCCAAGAGAAGTCATGAGTTTGTGCTAATTTCCCAAAAAAAAATCTGGATTCAAAATATGCAGACATACAAAGGGTTTTACCATTAGCTAATATTTCAGAAGTATTTTTTTTTTGTTTATTCTTTTGTGCATCTTTTCTTTTTATTTTTTTTTAAAGAAAGGGCAGGAGAAATACTTTTTCTGAGTGTGTTCTTTTTTCCTTGCCTTTGTTTTTTTCTGAAAACAAAAGAGAAGTAGTAACAAGTCCAGAGAGACTTCTCCTGTCCATTCAGTACCTCACTTTGAAATTAATCTGATTAAGACACTATTTCATCATGTAACTTCCCACTTCAGAAACCTTCCAAGAATCATGCTAGGTTTGAATTAAGCTCACACCCTTCAGTTTGTTTTAATGATGACAGTGCTTAGCTCCCGGCCCACACCAAGCTCTAATTACGCTCCTGGAGACACTTCTTTTACAACATGACTTGTTCATTTTCCCCAGACAGATGCCATGTGTTCTGTTCCCCTTCAACTCCCACATCTATCTGGGATTACCCAGTCTCCTTTTCTTCTGTCCAAATATTTTGTGTTTCTCAGGATTCAACTCAAGTTTTTATCTACTGTGTAACCTGCCTCATTATCACCAATCCCATTTTCATCCCTTTGATGACTTACAGTCCTTGTTTATATTATTATTTTGGCCTTTAATTACATAATGTTGTAAACTGCTTCCTAAGTGTTCAAAAAGAAACGGAAATCCTTGAGAGCAGAGATTCTGCTTTATATTTCTTTCATTCCTCAATTAGTATAATGCTAGATTATTTATAAATGTTTATAACATTGAAATGAAAAGCAGCAGGCATTCTGATTGTGATAAAATTAAATAATATTCTAAGTTGATTTTACTTGATTAAGCTGTTTGACATTTGCCAAATGGATTCTTGATTTGCAGTTGATTATTGTAAGATCCATTCACTGTGAAGTTTTGTAAATTAAGATTAATTGGCAAAATGTGAGTTTTTGAAAATCAAAGAGAGATGCTCTTATTACTTTTAGCTACATATGATAATCAGACTGGTAATAGTGCTTCTGAAGTTGAAGTCTGTTTTCATGTGAGAAATTTATGGTTGGCAGCATCCACAATCATTTGCTAAAGAGGTAGAAACAGCTTGTTTTCTTAAGTACAAAATACTCCCCGTAGTCTTGTTTTCAAAAGTATTAATTTGAATAGCAAACTCCTACTAGACAGTGTAAAGCTAGAAACATTGTCCAGATTAGGTTAGTTTTAAATATTGAAAGGCAGAATTTGAGGCCTTATTGAACTGAATTGAATGATTTCCCATCCACAGGGAACAGGTGGGGACTGCAGAGGCTTCTGAAGGTACCTGCATGTTAAAACATAACAGCATTTATTCAGGGTGACTCACTGTCTGCTTAGCTTGGCACAGAGCTAATAATGGTGTTTTCTCAGTGTTGGATAATAAGAACTCTTTTTAGAAGTCATGTGCATCATTTATTGTCAGACTGTAAAATGATAGGGCTATGAAAATGAATCATGCAGAGAAGGCTGACAAAGAGAATCATCATGTCCTTTATTGAAGGAGGACATTACCTGGAGGGCTTCTATTTGAGTGGGGTTAAAATAACAAGTTTCTTCTGTCCTATCCTCTCAACAAATATTGCCTGCTTATCTTTTCATCTTAGTGTCTTGATATAGACGTTAGTATTCACTGTTAATTGTGTTATATTTCATATGTTGACCTAAACCAATCATCTCTGTAGCTATCATAGGCCAGATTTGAAGTGAGTTACATTATTTGTGATGAAACCAGGTTAAATATCTTTTCCAAATCTTGTTTGAAGGAGTTAATTCTGGTATAAACTTGGAGTTTGCATTGGAAGTAGTGAAAACACGGACTTTTGTGAGGTTGTATGTGCCGTGGCCAGGGGTAGCTAATTATTCAGTTTTAAGTGTCATTTGACCAGTACATATAGAAAAATTTCAGATGTCTGGTGGGAAGGATCAAGAATGAGTTCTTCCAAGAAGAAGGAATCAGTTAGTTTAAGAACAAAATCATCCGGTATCAGGGTGCTGAGTAGCTGCAGTTTTCTCTCTGCTTGCCTCTAGTTGTAGAGGAAGAATGCTGGGGCTCGAAAGCAACATGAGAAAAGCAAAGGCAATGCTTCCTCTTGGCCTTGTTTGCAGGCAGTTGTAGGAAGTTAGGCTTAAAGACTGAGAGGTTTCAATGCCAAGAAAAGCATTCAGCGCAGAGGAGTAACTGCTGATGCTTGGCCTGCAAAGCAATCAGTTGAGAGAAAGGAGCAAGCTAAGATTTTTTCTTTTTCAAGGAAAAATATAAGTAACATGATTTGTGGAAGTAAGGATGTTGAGACTACCCCTTCATTGATTTTACTGGGTAACTATTTTTTTTTTTTTGAGATAGAGTCAGGCTGGAGTGCAGAGGCTGGAGTGCAGAGACTCGATCTCGACTCACCACAACCTCCACCTCCCAGGCTCAAGTGATTCCCCTGCCTCAGCCTCCTGAGTAGCTGGGATTACAGGCGCATGCCACCACGTCCAGCTAATTTTTGTGTTTTTAGTAGAGTCGGGGTTTCACCATGTTGGTCAGGCTGGACTCAAATTCCTGACCTTGTGATCCACCTGCCTTGGTCTCCCAAAGTACTGAGATTACAGGCGTGAGCCACTGCACTCGGCTGGATAACTATTTCTTCTTTAATAAGTTTCTTTTTAAATTTTTTTTTTTTTTTAGACAGGGTCTTGCTCTGTTGCCCATGCCGGAGAGCATGCCCAGTGAGCTGAGATCACGCTGCAACCTCCACCTCTTGAGTTCAAGCGATTCTCCTGCCTCAGCCTCCCATGTAGCTGGAACTGCAGGCGTGCACCACCACGCCTGGCTGATTTTTGTATTTCTATTAATAGTAGAGATGGGGTTTTGCCATGTTGGCCAGGCTGGTCTCAAACTCCTGGCCTCAAGTGATCCACCCACCTTAGCCTCCCAAAGTGCTGGGATTGCAGGTGTGAGCCACCATGCCTGGCTTCTTTAATAAGTTTCTGTAACTGTATTTAAATATACAATTATTACTTTTGTGTATATTTTTGTTTATATTAATATTTCCTTTTGAAGAGTATATAAACCTTTTGATAGCACAAACTGTGCACCTAAAGTGATAAACGATGATAAGTGATAAGTGGGGAAGACTGGCTAATCATTAAGACCTGAGCCTGCTGCCCCATTCTCAGGATGCATACTTACTTATAAATGTATTCTTAAACATAAAAGAGTCACTAAGTATTTTCCGGAAATCTCTCCTGTCTATAAATTCATCCTGTCACATTTACTATGATCTTCTATCTCAGCTTCCTCTACTTTTACCTGAACTTAAAACTCCTTCCACTCTGCTTAGTCTGTTTATCCTATTGAGTTACACATGGACACTTCTGTGCATATCCCCTGACCCTTAATAAAGCATATGATGTTAAGCATACATACATTTGTGCACCTGAAAGTGCATACAGGCAGAGGGAAGAGAAGATTTGTGGTTTGTTAGGTGGGAGATTATGTGTGGAGATTTCTACGTGGCTGTTACTAAGAAAAATGGTTAAACAGTAGATCACAGAGATGAGGTATTAAAGGAGCGGATGTTACTGGCAATGCCTATTTGAGGGATTAATGAACCTTTTTTTTTTTTTGTAAACTATAAATAGCCTGATCTAGATTATTTTGTAAATTAACAGATTCCTTCATCAGAGACCAGACATTGAGACTAATATTAATCCTAATGAATGGAAAAGAATACAAGTGTTTTAGTGCTGATGCAGGTTAATTAAGAATTATATCCGTTATTCTATATTCAAATATGAGAATTTCTGAATCTAGGACTCATATTTACAACAGGGTTGAGTTAAAGAATATTTTGAATAAGGATGCAAAGTGTTGTAAAATATTAGTGTTTCTAAAACACTTTGAGAAAGTGTTGTACAAGCGCTATTATAATATTTAGAAGTTAAGATGTCATAGTACCCATTAAGACCCATTGTATTGTGTTTGTGGATGAGTACTAATGAGTTAAGTCTCTTCTCACTGAAGAGTTGGGAGTGACATGGCTCTCTTGCTAGTATGCTGGACTCTGCTACACTTTCCTCTCTGTCTGCATAGATAGAATCAGTTTTGTCCCTGCAGCAAGGAATAGGTAGTTTGTCTCTTTGAAGGAAGAAAATGAGATTTGGAGCCAGAATGATTTACACAAATGCAGTATGATTAATTTTCTGTAATCTTTTATTATGTCCTTTGAGTTACCATGGCCAAGAAAATAAAAGCTAAAGTCTTACTATTGCATTCAAAGCTCTGTGTTGGTGCTTCTCAGCTCTGGATGCATACGGAAATAACACAAAGAACTTTTTCAACGTGACATGAACAGGATGGGGTTTAGGCATCTGAATAGTATCTTTATTCTCTTGCCTTATTGAGGATTTGTATGGGTTTAGAACTCTAAAAATATACGAGAAATGATCTTGTTGATTTCTACAGCAATGCCCTATTGTGAATTCAATTGGGAATTGCAAAATAATAAGAAATATACATGTTGGTCTTTGCCCTCAGTCCCTGGCACAGAGCCCCTG